TCCCACTCTAACCTGCGTCGCGTCCCTCCCTAACGTCCGCCTCCTCCCTCCCTAACATCCGCCTCCTCCCTCCCTAACCTCCGTCTCCTCTCTCCCTAACCTCCGTCTCCTCCCTCCCTAACCTCCGCCTCCTCCCTCCCTAACCTCCGCCTTCTCTCTCCCTAACCTCCGTCTCCTCCCTCCCTAACCTCCGTCTCCTCCCTCCTTAACCTCCGTCTCCTCCCTCCCTAACCTCCGTCTCCTCCCTCCTTAACCTCCGTCTCCTCCCTCCCTAACCTCCATCTCCTCCCTCTCTAACCTCCGCCTATTACCTCCAGAATCCCCGCCACCTCCCTCCCTAACCTCCGCCCCCTCTCTTCCTAACCCCCGCCACCTCCATCCTGAACCCTCGCCTACTCCCTCCACAGCCCCCGCCACCTCCCTCCCGAACCACCACCTCCTTCCTCCCGAACCACCACCTCCTTCCTCCCGAACCCGGGAAGGTAGCTGTGTGTCTGTCGTTTGTTAATTTGTGGATTCGTGTGTCTGTGCTCGCGCTGCTCAGGGTAAGGATGCCGGAATCAGGACCTTAGTTATGCTGGACGAGCAGGGAGGTGAGTGACGGTCGCTTAGCAGCACATTGTCATCATCCGCATGGTCCGTCATGACGCTGCGCTGTCCTGTTGTCACCGATGCTCGTCACTAGAACCTAGCGTGATAACTGTCTCCGCTCTCCTGTTGACATACGTTTGCTGTCATCGCCGTGACAGCCTGACCTTCACACGGCTGTTCGTTTCTGGTTGAGTAGGAGTAGTGCATAGATGTTGTGTATGTCGCCGTGCATGTTCCTAAGCACCCGTGTTAGGGAGCGTTCACAATTACCGACATTGCCGCATGGCGTAGAAATGCGTCGAGCGCTAACGGCCGTCGTACGCTTTTAGAAAAACAAATAAATATCCATACTCGCATTCGTGCCAAAAATGAGAAATCAGCATTATATTTTGTTCACTTTGCCGGGGAGGGAGAGAGGGACACCATGAAAGGGTATGCTCTCTGCTCCTTCGAGTGTGTTGATAATTGTGAACGATCCGTTGATAGTGTTTGTTCTGTTCTGTTGCTTGTGTTTGTTCAGCCGTTATCAAACTTTTCAGCCTACAAGCCCTGTACGTACTGTGGGAAACCTAACAAGCAAACGGTTTTGTTAGTCCTAACCGAACTCGGTGATATTCTATAGACCAGTAACCGTGCGTACATGACAGAAGTAGATTATATATTGATGATGCAGAAAATACAGCGAAAATGAACTAGTCGGGTCGTTTCGGTGTTTGTGACCGGGCGCGTTATACGTGTCATGATTAGCTTTCCGCATCTGTATTTCGACGAGCGACAGATACACGCACACCCACACCCACGCGCACACATACACACACACACATACGCGCACACACACACACACACACACACACACACACACACACACACACACACACAGGCCCG